CCCCTGCCCCCCCCGACGAGCCGCCACTGAGTAAAACAATGAGAGAGAGAGAGAGAGAGAGGGAGAGAGAGAGAGAGAGCGAGAGTGCGAGAGTACGAGAGAGAGTTTTCTTTAGAATGCAAGCATTTAAGTTTAAGACTTTCAAAACATTTCTGGCAATGATAGCCACATTCTCTGAGATATCATGTTCCAAGCCAGAATAGCTGAATTTAAATGCATTTCAAGTCAGCTTAATCAGAATGTGTCTGTGATGTCCAAAAATGCTGTCTACCCTTGTGAAAATGAAGTCTGCTTAATAGTATTAAGTATTTGTAGTGTACTTTAATGTCTTGTTAAGTAAAAAGCTGTGTGTTTGTAATAAACATAAGGCATTTTAACTGGCCAAAATACAAATTCATAACCCATAATAATGCTTTCTCCTGTGATAAATGTCATCCTCTATTGCCAAAATCCACCAGCATATTTGTTTAGAGCTGTTTTGGACTGTTTTCACTTGTAAATAGTACTTTATCCGTGCATATTTCTCTCCTGATTCAGACAAGATGAATCTTTTACTAGAGAAAGCACTATTATGGATAGAGGACTCATATTTAAGCCAAAAACAATGGTTTGAAGTTAAACAATGAGCTTTTAACTTCACAAGATGTTAATTGATGGACTAGAGTTGTGAGGATTACTTGTGTATTATTGTGATGTTTTTATCAGCTGTTGGACTCTCATTCTGACGGCACCCATTCACTGTAGAGGATCCATTGGTGAGCAAGTGATGTAATGCTAAATTTCTCCAAATCTGTTCTGATGAAGAAACGAACTCATCTACATCCTGAATAGCCTGATATTGAGTTAATATTTAGCTCATTTTGATTTTTGTGGTGAACTATTCCTTTAAATGTTAAATTCATACAGTATTCATTTAACACTTAACTATATTCTTTTATACTATATTAAAAGTATATATTCCTTTAAAGTATTTTAATGTATATTATTTATAAATAACAATAGTATTAATTTTAAAAAGTATGCTAAAGTGTACTTTTTTTAAAGAGCTCGGTATGCAGCTCACTGGGTTTTGAGACAGCCGCTATATTCCTAACACACAATATAGAGTCACTGTGCTGGCAGCTCTATAGAGAACACAGGTGATTGTCTGCTGCGGTGTGTATGATGTGTGCAGTGGGTTAATTGAAGGCGGGCTGCAGGTGAACTCGTTTGTGGTGTAATTACAGTGGCTGAGAGTGTACGGCTGAAAAGACAAGATTAATAGCACTGACTAAAGTCCATTTCAGAGTTACACTCTTACTCTTGATGAGACCTGAAGTGCAGCGCATGAACAGAGAGCAGGAAAGGAACTGCTGCTTGTGTGTTAATAGGATGACCTGCAGCACACGCTTTAAAGGATGTATATCATGGAAAACAGGATCTGCTCTTTGATATAATAGAGCTAAATTTTCTACAGGCAAACTCTAAAGTTCATGATTCAAAGCTTCCTCACTGGATCATTTATTCAAACTTAATTGCAAAAATGACTAGAAATTGTTTCAACGATGAGCGTGTTAACATCTGACCACCCCTATTTAAATATTAATGACACCTATTTGGCATGACATTATGGGTTTTATTGGCCTATTCAGATATAACACTTTTTTTTATTGTATCATTTGTTAATTATTGTAGTGAATTTAAACATTTAAATAAAATGTCATTTTTTTACTTTTATTTTTATATTACATTAATTTAATATTTACAACAAAAAAGGACTAATTAATTTATCAATCTGGCACAGTTCTATTCTAAAAATAGACAAATACTGGTGTATATATTGGCAATCATGCGAGATTCATTTCCTTATATAAATCTTTCAGCAGCAAAAAATGTGGAAAATAGAGTAAATTAACAACTAAATTAGGTTTTGGGTGCAAGAAACCTTGACTAACATTATAAGTAGGACTCTGGGAAATAATAGCATGCAAGAGAAGTGTAGATTATGCCTCTTTTTAATGAGTGATCCAACCCAGATGGTGATTCCCGAGGGAGTTCAGAGACACTATTTGGAACACTGACATATTAATGAAGAAAATGTTGCAGATATTGATATGTACTCACACAAGGAGCAGAAGTGGGTAGTGTAAGGTGTCTATGAAGCCTGCAGGTTTTAGTATCTGCATGCTGAGGCCTGTGTATGACAATCAAAGACATTCATCTGCATCTCTATTATATTAATATCCTTCTTAAACACCAACACAATTTAGATAACATACTGTAATCCTCTATGTTTATCTCTCTGTATTCCACTTTCGGCATCTGCATGGAGTTCACCGTTCTCCTCAAGTTCAGATTCAACTCGATGTCACGCACCTCTGCAGAAAGAGAGAAACCAATCATTGTGCGATTAAAAAGGAACAGTTTACCCCAAAAATGAAAAGTTCCAAACCAACAATAAAAGTCGTTTAGCTTAATGTTCATGCTGCGCACATTCCAAAACATCGGTCTCCATTATAGCTTTCAAATCTCTTTTAAACATTGCACCAACATTTGGAATCACTGATATGACCTGTGTCTATATACTGTGTATATGCAACACTTGTGGTATAATGGTGATTATGTGATTGTGCATTGCAAGAATCTGTTTTACAGTGAGGTAACTTACAATGGTAGTAAATAGGGCCAATTTATATACAGTAATTTATAAAATACTCACTGTTACAGCAGCATTGTTATGACTAGTTTTGTTCAATGACTCTTATTTTGATATTAATTTCATTCCATTGTTTCTTTGTAAGCAGCGTAAATGTCTATGCATGTGCTAAACTTTTATTATGTCTTATATATTTCTAACTGTTGCCACGACATTAAGCCTAAAATCTTAAAACGGATGTAAAAGACAAGAACAAATGTACAGCTGATGTTTTTAACAGAAGAATTCATGTAAATGCTTTTATAAAATTATAAGCTTCAAGTTTATTTTTCAATCATTTATTTTAAAGAAAAGGAGATGCAAGCCACAGATATTGTCAATTGAGCTTAACTTGTATTAAATATGAAATATTCCTTTAGTTTTAATAATAATAATTTTTTTTTTTTTGAGGTGGGATATCCAAGGTTAGTGTATGTTTTAAAAAGAAAAAGCAGCGTGGACATTCTGCTAAACATTTCCTTATAGAAACTTACACAGATATGGAATGAGGGTGAATAATTATTGACTAAATCATGGCACAAATGTTATTTTTGGGAGCTATTCCCAAGCTATTAACCACGTCAATGCAAAATGCATTGTTTATCTCAAACTAAGCATCTGCAAGCACTCACAAAACCTGAGGAAATGAGTAGCTAATTGTTCTGGGACATAAATGAGAAACGGTTGCAGGATTAACAGTTGTAGATGTTCAGAGGTTGTGAGAGACCTGTGAGCAGCTGGCTTTCCTGATAGAGAGCGACTAAATAGAGCAGATATCCCGTCTGCTGCTGTAAACATGGAGACCTTCCATTCTGAGCAGCAGCGATAGAGTCTTGGAACTGCACGTAACAATTAAGAGCACATTGCGGTTGAGGGTTTCGTTTTAAGACAGGCTTATCAGTGCCTGCTCAGACTCAAGCCTCACAAAGCACACTTGCTCCCATTGCACCAATGCTATTGACATAGCCGCACATTTAGAGATGGATCCGTATGAGCGTCGTGTAAGTCATCTGAATTTGACCTTGGTGGCACATTTAGCATTTACTGAATGGACCTGGCAGAGAAGGGAAGGGATGGGAAAAACATCTGAAATGACAGGGTAAGAACTCTAGATTAAATTGTAAACAAACAATTGATAAACATTCTACCCACACACACAGGTGTGAGCTCTGTGAGATGACTTCTGTGACGGACCGTCGCACTAAATCACTCTCTCGCTGTAATATCATTGGGCTTACAGGATATTATATACATAATAACACAATTACCAGCCTCTTACACAGAGAGGTCACATTTCTATGGAAGCCATGGCACGTCTGGCAATAATCCAATCATCTGTAAGTGCTCTCACTGTGCAAGCAGGCATGTGTAGGGCTATTCAATCACACACAGTCTATGGTAGGCCTGGAAGCAGCTCTGATCATCAATTGACATGCTGTGGGTATATAATGCAATGAGACAAGTATGCGAGTGTGTGTGTGTGTGTGTGTGTGAGAGAGTCTGACTGTGCCAGTGTTTTAACGTGGAGGTTGGTAATGAGAGCATCTTCCTAAACTTGTCACTCTTCATTTGAGTGCTTAATTCTAAGCAGTTTGGTTATTAATGTGAGTGACAACCAAGGATGTTATGATACCCAGCAAAATGTTAAATTTAAAGACCCCCTGTGGTGAAAATCAAGTTTTTAATGTTGTTTACATATCTGTCTGGTTTCTTAATATGCTTAAAGCCACATGAAAATTCATCAGTTAACACCATTGCTGAGCATTTTCTCCTACAAACTGCAGTGTCCTAAAGATGCGGTTTGAAACTGCTCCTGTTTCCTACCGTCACAAGCATGTAATCAATCCCGCCAATTGCAGGCTGGGACTTTTTATATTTCTATCTCACATAGGTTTCTATTTACAATGTATTTTTTGCAGCATTTAACAATGTAGCCAAACACAGGCATATCATGAAATGCAATTGGTGTTTAAGTTAGAATCCACTCACCAGTCAAAACAGCAAAGTTTGTGCAGTCAGTGCAGACCTTCACTGATTATAACAGAACTTTGTGAGATCGTGTTGAACTAGAATATTCAAAAAGCCATATTCAAGACACAAAGAAATTATTTTTATGGGGTGGAAAAATGCCATTATGATTATCAAAGATGAGTTTTAAGGGACTAAATTAGTGACTGCAGGGGGACTTCAAACAAACTAACTGTTATCTTTATTTAACATCAGGATCATTCCTACAGTTTAGTGAATTTTGGACTGAGCAAGTCTGCTTGAAAAAAAAAACGTTATCCGAAAAACACACTGGTCAAGCTCAGGATAGTATAACACAATCCTGACCAAATATTCTGCATGTGGTCTAGGACTTTTATTCTGTTAGATGGCATTTTTACTTTGCAATGTGTAATAGGGTGGACATTTGAAGGGAAGTTTACATGACAACAACTGTAATGGTAAGTTTACATGACAACAATGTAGTAAAAATAAAGTATTTAACTTGAACTTTTTAAAAGTTTCTTATACAGACAACATTGTCATAACAATTCCCATTCACACTGATCTGTGAAAATAACTAAAAACACTATATAATGCATGCCAGGCCAGTAATTGGTGACGTCATTAAAAAAAGAAAAAAACACTATGCATCTGCACTGAACATGTAATACACATGCGCATGACATTACCATTTTCACATTTTGGTAGTTTGCACAAAGACAATAACGGCAATAAAGACAATAACACACTTGCACTGTGAAACCGGTTTTCTGCTGTTCTGTAAATGAACGGCAAAAACGCATACAAAGTTTTCCGTTTTTAGTTAAAAAAGGGTGTCCTATAACCTTCCCCCCCCCAATCAAGTCATGCAATTTAGGGCATGAGCTTAACATTTTAAATGGCAAGTAGCACTAATGTAACAGGGTGAACTGGAGTTTGAGAGACATATAGTAATTAAATGGTTTTACTCATTAAATATGATAATAAATTGTATTTTATGTCAAGTAAATTTATACACACACTCAAAACTGCTAATTTAGAAAAAAAAACGTATATATGTAACAAACATGCAAAAAAATAAGAAGTCAGGAAGGGGGCCAACACTTTTTCACACCACTGTATGTAACCCTTATTTCAATGTGAAGTTGAGAAAACATGACTGGGACATGGGAATTTGTCTGTACAAATTATTCTTAGGTACTAATCATTTTCTCAGGTACTAATCAATTTGTGTCAACACCTACTGTATGCATGGGAAATCATGTGGGATGAAAACTGATTAACGTTTTATGTAAAAAAAAATGCAGTATTGCTTCATGGGGACCAAATCCACTGAACTGTAGAAATGACCCAGCAATGAAATATGACTCTATTACTGTATAAAATGAATGAATTGTGATAATTAAACAGCTTTGAGAAGTAGGCAATCGAGGCAGTTGCCCGGGGCAGTGTTCTCTGCATCAGGTGCTCGCTCCATATTCTGGCAGTTTCACAGAATTGCGTCCACTCGTTCTGCTTGACCTTCTCACCGAAAATGAATTGTGGCCTTGTGGGACACCTTTTCGAGCAGTTCCCTAAACTTTGCCAACTTCCTTTTCACTTTTGGATGCACCACAAATATAGGATAAATGATAAATGATAAAAACACATACAAAGAGTCTCTAAAATGTGCCCTGTATCGATTACCCATTCATTGACATACACTACAATGCTATTTTACTTGCTTTCTATTGATAGCCTATAATTTACATTAACCGTTTAAAATTTTGGATTCAGTTAGATTTTCTAAAAATGTTTTTGGATAAGTCTCTTATGCTCATCAAGGCTGCATTTATTCGATCAGAAATATAGTAATATTGTGAAATATTATTAAAAATTTTAATAACTTTTCTCTATTAATATATTTTTTTTCTTGTGAAGGCAAAGTTGTGAAGGAAAGTCTTCACTGTCACATGATCCTTTAGAGATCATTCAAATATGCTGATTTGGTGCTCAAGAAACATTTCTTATTATTATCAATGTTGAAAACAGATGTGCTGCTTAATATTTTTGTGAAAACTGATACTTTTTTGACATTTTAAAAATTTCTTTAAAATAGAAATATTTTGTAGCATTATAAAAATCTTTACTGTCACCTTGATTTGCAATTAATTTTTTATCAAATGCCTCCCTATAATGCCTCCTAGGGCAGTTGTGGCCTAATCGTTAGAGAGTCAGACTTGTAACTCGAAGGTCGCAAGCTCAATTCTCAATATCGGCAGTAATTGTAGGTGGGGGGAGTGAATGTACAGCACTCTCTTCCACCTTCAATACCCATGACTGAGGTGCCCTTGTGCGTACGGGGACGTGAGCAAGGCACCGAATTGGGGGTTCGGTGCCTTACTCACGTCCCCGTACGCAGCAGCAAAGATGGCTGCCCACTGCTTCGGGTGTGTGTTCACTACTTACTGCTGTGTGTGTGTGTGTGTGCACTTGGATGGTTTAATTCCGAGTATTGGTTACCATAATTGGCCGTGACATCACTCACTTTTTTTCACTATTAATCATTCATCAGTGGGTGATGTGAAACTTCTAAATCTTTGACCTGTTTGTGAGTGTATTGTAAGTGTGTGTGTGAGTTTGAGTGTGTGTATGCTACTCAGTGGTAAGCAGTCAAATGACAGGAGTAAGACCCAGCAGATCATCCAGAACTCAAACACACACACAAACAAACAAACAATATAGAGAGGAGGAAAGTTGGATACTCACTCTGTCTGTCATGGGTGCTGTAAACCGTCACATATGGAACATCAGGACCTGACAATATGCCAACATAATCATCAATAATTAATGACACAGGACATTCATTGGTTTTCATGGTTTGAACAAATGCTTTGCAAAAGTATGCATGTTATTTTTGTTCGTCAATCAGTAATTCTCACAGCTGGGAGTTGTAGCAATTGTGTCTCACAGAATGCATCTGTCCTGTCCAAATCTTTTATATGAATTATTCATGCATGATACTGACGAAATACAATTGAACATACTCGCATCACCTGTTGCAGCAACTGGATCAAATACATTTTTGCACTTGGACTTTGATGACCAATTTGCAATTATTAACAGTGTTTACTTCACTACTACTATAACTAATACATAGGGTTAAAGGGATAGTTCACCCAAAAATAAAAATTTGCTGTTAACTTACCCTCCGGCTATTAACTTTGCTGTTAACTTTACCCTCCGTTGGCGATTCAATAAAGTCCACGGCTGTCACTTTGAGAGCCAAAAAAGCATATACGGGCAACACAACATTAATACTGTGACACTTTACGATATATTGAGGCCTTATGAAGCGAAACGATCAGTCTGTGCAAGAAACTAAATATTATTACTTGTAATCCATAGCCTCAGGCAAACAGCCCTGAATATCTTCATGTGAGTCAGGAGTGCAAGATTTCTGTTGCTTAATGACATATGTGCGGGACCAAAAACATGCACAGACTTATAATTTTGCTTCATAAAACTTCAATATATTGTCAGGAGCCAAGGGTATTCATTTTATGTTGCCTATATATGTTTTTGGCTCTCAAAGTGACAGTAGAAACATACTTGCATTTTATGAATCACCAAGGACCATGGTGTCAAATCTTTACTGTTCCACTGAAGAAAAAAAAGCCACCTGCTGAACATCTTGGATGGCCTGAGCATGAGTAAATTAACAGCAAATTTTCATTTTTTGGGTGAACTTTCCCTTTAAGAGATTTGAACAGACCTTACCCCTATAGCAGTGGTTCTTAAATCCAGTCCACTGCTTTGCATACTTTGCGTACAGATCAGTGGGTCCCCAGGACTGGAGTTGAGAACCACTGCCCTAAAGTATTATTGTTCTGACAAAAAAGGTCTATTGTTTATGGTCAATAGTGTATTGTTGGAGGAAGCACTTTCAAACCAAGCATCTTTCTGTTGGTCAGTGCAGAGAATTCTTGTGACCAACTTAAAATGACTAAAATCTGCATGAGGAAATCTTTCACATTCATGCAAAATTCTAAATTTTGTGGATTCCTATTGAAATGACTGGATTTCACCTGGGAAATTTGCTAAACAACGGTAAATATGAAAGCACCTTTACATTTCTATATGTAACAGCCTGAATCACTTGTGCTACATGATACTTCAAATCAACATTCTTCTTACAGAAAGTTGTGCAATTACTTAATGATCTGTCTTTCAATTTCTGCCTGCCTAACCACATTTTCTTTTTAAAAATCTAGTTTGGATCATCACACAGTTTCTCATATAGTGTGAGAAAAGTGAGATATGATAATTAAGAAAAATAATGTTATAGCTATTTATGTAAAATCAAAACTATTCGAAACTACCTTAAAAACAAACATACAAACAACTCTTTTTATAACTACATTTATGCATTGTAGCAGATGCTTTTATCCAAAGCTAATAACCATAGTATAAATAAAGGTATGTGATTGTTATGTATTAAGTCATAGTTTATATGTCAGCAAGACTCTAGAGCAGTTTATCCAGTCATTTTACAAGTTCTCTAAAGTTTATTTTATAAACAGCCTGCCACTAAACTGAAAAAGGTGCTTAAAAGCTTTTGTTAATGAGCATCTGCAATGAAACTTTAACAAGTGGCACAACAGCACTGATCGTAAACACAACAGTCATTTCTCCAGGAGTTCTGTCACAACGGTTCAGTGAATTACAAGCATTCAAGCCTTCAGAACACATCAGCTGCTGTAGAAACAAGCCCTCCAAATAATCAATGCACTTTGCAGAATGAAAACTTCACTGTTGAACAATAACAACATGCTCTTTGACAATGCGTCTGCTCGCGCTGTCTCCATCCCTTTCTCTATTCTTCTAGCGTAACACTGAAGCTTGTCAGGAGACAATATAAAAGTAAAGGTTCATGGGATCTAAATTGACATTCACCACAGTGTCAACTCACAAGCGTTTATTAAAAATGTGTCAGGGTAATGGTGGGTCATTTTAATTCTCAGCTTTACAGCCAAAACAAGACTTTACGTAAGTATTTCTTGACCTTTCATTTCTTTTGTTTTTTACAAAAAAAGTACAATTCTAATTACTACTACACATCATACAGTATATGTTCCTATATTATGTTATCTTGTTCGCACATATACCCGTGGTAGTAAGAACAAGCAAAATAGAAACAAAGAGATGTCTACCTTTACAACTGAGCAGAAAATAGTCCATGCTGGGACTGAAGAAGCCACTGACGTACCCGCAGCTGTCAGTGAAATCACAGGACAGACAGCGGCGGTTGAAGGTGCCCACCGTGTCTGCGCTGGAACAACCACAGATACATTAACACTGTCAGCGAGAACAAGCCTGTGACAGCACAAGACAAACTTCACACGGCACAAAACATGAATATGTATGTGCTGTATGTACCTGTAGAGATGTCTTCTTTTAGGGTCATCCTCAGTGCTGAGGAAATATCTGTTCATACAAAACATATGATATCAAAACATACTCGATATAACAATAGCTATACAAAGGTGACAAAGAAGTACACTTCAGCATAAGTTTAAAAAGTGTACTTATTACAGCAATTATATACTTCAAAAATGTACTTAAGTCAGAACTGAATGTTGTCAGACACTAAATGCCTGTTAATTCAAACTAAATGAAAATGTATTATAATGTAATTAGCTAAGAGTGCTTTTTGACCCACTTAGGACTTAAGTACATCTTTTTAGGCCATTTCAACCAGTACTGGTTTAAAATATGGTTAACGTGTACTGACATGCATTTATGATAAACTACAATATGATTTAATGTAATTTCTATTAAAACCTGTATGCCATGTATTGATATATATATATACAGTATATAGTGCCCTCCATAAGTATTGGAACAGTAAAGACAAAATTGTTCTGTTTGCTGTGGAGACAAGAAATCTGTAAATATGATTAAAAGATGAATATGAGACAAAACTACAGAGTGTGTTTCAACACATAAATGTTTTACCATCTAAGAAGATCAGCACTTTTAGAGTTCATCCCACTATCTGATGTGAGCATAAGTATTGGAGCAGCTGCCTCGCAGGTCTTTCTAAGTGATCAGCTGTGTCATGTTGCATTAATTCTTCAGATATAAAAAGCAGGGAATGTGTCGTATCAGTTATATCAATTGCTTCTGCATTCTGAGTCTTGCATTCGATGACGACACACACAAACCAGGATGAAGACGACGGAGCTGACTTTGAGAGAAAAGCAAGCAGTTTGGCTGCTAAAAGAAAAGAGGAAGTCAATTAGAGCTATAGCAAAAACAAAGGGCATGGAGAAATCAAGAGTTTGGAAACCACCGGCGACATCAGCAACCAACAACGACCTGATCGGCTGAGAAAAACTGCAGTAGTTGATGACAGACAAATCATAAAAGCTGTGAAAATGAACCCTAAAATACGTGTCTGTGAAATCACCAACAACCTTCAGAAAGCTGACAATCTACTGTCCGCAGGAGACTTTGACACAGAATTACAGAGGCTACACAGCAAGATGCAAACCTTTGACAAGCACCAAGAATAGAAAGGCAAGATTAGAGTTTGCAAAAGCCAGTAGAGTTTTGGAACAGAGTTTTATGGACAGATGAGACAAAGTTTAACCTTTATCTAAGAGATGGGAAAGCAAAAGTGTGGAGAAAAAGGGAACTGCAAATGATCCTAAGCATACAGCCTCGTCTGTAAAGCATGGTGGAGGTGGTGTCATGGCATGGGCATGCATGGCTGTCTCTGGAACAGGCCCTCTCAATTTTAATGATGACTTAATGTTTGATGACAGTAGCAGAATGAATTCGGAAGGGTACAAAACCATCTTGGCTACCAAGAAAATGCCACCAGACTCATCAGAAAGCAGACTAAAGGCATAAACTCCCCAAAACAAGCAACAGTTGGAACTGGCTGCATTAAAGGCTGGGAAAAGCATTTCAAAGGATGAGACCAAGTGTCTGGTGATGTCTATGGGTTGCAGACTCACTGCTCTGATTGCACGCAAGAGATCTGCAACTGAATAATAGCTTTTAATCTTTTACATCTGCCTTAAGTTCAACTGTCCCAATACTTATGCTAACATCAGATAGTGTGATGAACTCTAAAAGTGCTGTCCTTTTTATTTGGTGTTGAAACAGCTAATAATAAAATGTGACATTCTGTAGTTTTGTTTCATATTCATCTTTTAATCCGATTTGCAAATGTCTTGACTCCATAGCAAACAGAGCAATTTTGTCTATTTTTTTAAGTTAGACATTTGTAATGATGAATTTGCAATTTAGTACATTTAAAATAAATTAAGGTTACACTTTCTTTTAAGGTGTCCTTGTTACAGTGTAATTATACATTTAAGTACTGAGTAAGTAAGGGATAATCAACGGCTAGCCGTGCATTAAATGGTTTTAAATGCACGACGTGGAGGCAAAGAACCGCCTGACGCGAAGTACATTTAAAATCCTTTAAAGGTCCCATGACATGCTGCTTTTTGGATGCTTTTATATAGGCCTAAGTGGTCCCTAGTACTGTATCTGAAGTCTCTTTCCCGAAATTCAGCCTTGGTGCAGAATTTCAGCCACTACGAGCCAGTCCCACAATGAGCTTTCCTTAGGATGTGCCATTTCTGTGTCTGTAGCTTTAAATGCTAATGAGGAGGAGAGAGGCGGGGCAACTGCCATGCTTCGCTCGTTTGCAAGCCATGATGTCTCTCGAGGAAAAAAAAAATATTGCACTCGCCTCGCACGGTAGTAGCTCATTTTCTCATGGGCGGGCCAAATTCTCTGGGCGGGTAAAGCAGAGAAAGGGGAGGTAACCTTTCCCCGTATGACGACATAAAGGGAAGATTCCAGATTGGGCCATCTGAGCTTTCATTTTCTCAAAGGCGAAGCAGGATACCCAGGGCTCGGTTTACACCTATCGCCATTTCTAGCCACTGGGGGACCGTAGGCAGGCTAGGGGAACTTATATTAATGTTAAAAATAAAGTGAAATTTTCATGCCATGGGACCTTTAATGCACGGCTAGTCGTTGATTATCCCGCTTATTCCATGGTCATTTGCCAAGTTATAGACAAGTTAAAACTAGTATTTCTTTACAGCGCAATATTTGACCGAATGGGTAAAAATGCCAGTTCTTTT